AAAATTTTGTTTTGATCAAAATCAAAATAAACAAACCAAACACGCATTTATTTGGTTTGATTCAAGTAACAATGTTCAGAACGTTACGTAACTGCAGTTTTATACAGTCACATGACGTAATCGATATAAAATAGTCACCGGAAGATATCGTGCAGAGACTTTTAGCGGGGGTCTGTATTATATATCATATAATGATTTTCCATTTATTATTCTTTTAGCTTTATAAGGTTAAGAGAAAAATAAACTAATTTTTATCAATAATTCACACTTATTTTGTAATATTTACACAAATTATATATATTTTCAATTTTGGTAATTATAATTAATTTTGGGTAAATTTAACTTTACCAATATTAAAGAAATTAAAATTCTAATCCAAAATTCTGAAAGTACAAGTTAAAATCTATCTATTTTATGGTTTAGAATTTTAATTTTATTATAAAGAAAAAAGTTTTTGTATTATAGATATGGAAGCTTTGCAGTAGAATGGGAATAAACTCTAAAAAAAAAATTAAAATTTATTTTATAAGCTAAATATAATTTTTTTAGTAAAATAAGTCCAGATTTAACATTAACTTAAAAATAATTTTTTTTAGAATTTTCTTCTTTTCTACTGCAAAGCTTCTATATGTTCTATTTTTACTATAGTATAATTCCTATTATAAAGGTTCTGCATTATAGCTAAATAATTGAATGATAACTGAATAATATAAGGATCTATTATGATAATTTAAAAGAATAATAATTTATTTAGATTTAATACTTATTCAGCTAGTTACTTATAAATTTATATTGGATTAAAAAATACTAAAGAAAAATCAAAGTATAAGAATATAAGTTATAAATTTGATGGAATGTCATAAATGTGAAACTAGACAAACAAAAAAAAAGTTATTTTGATTATTTAAATTATGAAATAATTTGATTTCAGTTTCATTTATAATTATAATTTATAAGAATTAATACTAATAGTATTATAAAGAATAGTTTAGATATTTTTAATATTATTTTAATAAAGTTAAAATTTATTAGTAAATTTATATTTTACATATTAGTCAATAAATCCTGATAAATCATCATTTATTAAAATCTATTTGTAAACAATCTATTATATATTTTATACAGTCAGATTTTTCTATAATTACCACTTTTGGTCACATTGTAATTTTTTCAAAATATGTGCTTATAAAAGGTTTTACTATATTATAATAATAAAGAGAGATTTTTTTATTAATTTAATCATAACTGATTTTAGGCAAGAATATAAAAAGGTTTCTATATTATGTGATTATATACAGGATGATTATAGACAGGTCTGACTGTATTATTTAAATCAAAGTGATTTAAAGATTTTTAATGATTAGATTAGCTATTAAAGTTCAATAGATCCGATTCATTTAATTTAAATAGATGAAATAATTATATTTATTTAATTAATAAGAAAATTAATTTAAATAGATTTAGAGTAAATATAATATTAAATAAATTAAATTAAATAATTGATTAATAAATTGCAAATTAAAATAATATTTTTATAAAAATATTTAAAAAATAAAAATTATAAATATTTATCATTTCATATAACTGTATAAACCTTAATTATAAAAATAATAAAAATATAATATTTTTTTATATTTAAATTTAAAATATTTTATTTTCTAATTGGTTAATATCATCTACAGTCAGAACTCGACTCTCTCCGGTTTACTATGAAATTTTTAAAAAGATTCGGATTATCAATATTTATAACGATTTTATTTGTTCAAATATAAAGCCAAAATTCGTTTTAACGATATTATCGAGTTATGAAATATAATTAATAAATATAATTATTATTTATCCTGATTGATTTATTAAGCTAATTGGATAATAATTATAACTTTTATTAAAATTAAAAGTAATATTAGAAAAAAAGGAACTATTTATTCGGAATTACTAAACTCGGATTATGATATTGTCATATTATTTTCTTATTTGTATATTAAAAAATTATAAAATTCTGGCTTCGTCTTTATAAGTTAATAACGATATTAGGTGGAAATATTTTCTTAGTAAGCAACTGACATGAAAGTATTCATCTTATGTATTTATCAAATGATACGTTTAAAATTTAATGACGTGTCAACATTTGACTCAATTACCTTTTTTAAAGTGAAAAAATTCATCATGTTTGATAATATTCATAAAAAAGAACATAAAAACTTTGTTTTTTGAAGATGAACATCAATTTAAATAAAGAACCTGATGAAACAACGAACAACGATAATGTTTTTGTCAAATCCTCAATTAGCTCGACATCATCAATGGAATCTACTGCCATCCAAGCTCAAGGCATATTTCCTCAAAGTTCGATTCGTAAATTTTTTCCGCTGATTATTCCAACAACCACAAATCCTTTCGGGGAATACATTCCGATCCATATTGCAATCCAACGATTTCTTCGATCTCCAGTGAATCAAAATCCACCTTATTATGAAGTTCCCGTGCTTGGTAACTTACCAACGGTCCGTCACGCTTATGCGGAATGGTATTTCGGAATAGATGAAAATCCTGCAATCATCTCATGTATTAGAAAGTATGGGAAAGATTGGGAAAGAAGTAATCAACAAAGATTGTCGAGAAGAAAAATTTTGATCCGTGAGATTGAATTGAGAGAGACTGATTTCTCTACTGAAGAGGTTTTGGAAATTTTGGAGATTTTGCGGGATGGATGTACTTTAAACAAATTAATCGATGTTAAATTATTAGGGCATGATAAATAATACCTTTGTATTGACCGCAATAATTTGATTTCTATTTTTGTAATGTAACTATTATTTATAAATTCATTTTTTAGTTAATTATTTCAATAAACAACTGCTTTGTCATTAAAAGTATTACTAAAAATAGTAGTCTTATACACGACATTACTATAAAAAGGTATAAATTAACCTTCAGGACAATGAAACAACTGTGTACTACAATGGATATAAGGGAAGACTACGCCACATATTTTCTAATATAATATATATATTCATTGTAATGATTTAATTCAGAAATTTCTTTCAAAAAAAACTTGTTCCCAAAAAAAAAAAATTACAGAATGAGTGCACAAGTTGACAAAAAGAATTCCCTTATGGAATCATTCATAAACAACAGACCATCTCTCTGCATATCTACAACTACAATAGATTCCGAAACTCTTATACCACCACCCATTCATTTTACGACGACAATACATGATCCACCTATGCAAATTCGTCAAGATGCTTCTCATTTAACTTCACAATATCTTCAACCAAATTTAAAATATTATTCCTTAGATATAAATGACAGTGGCGAAATCAATACCCTTAATTTAGAAAAAAATTGGTCTTTACTTGATGATATAAACCTTTATCACAAGTTAATTAATAATAATTCAAATGTAAATAATAAAAATGATCAGGAAGAGAAAATCGCAACAGAACAAAGAGAAATTTTGAAAGAAAAGGAATACTTAAAACCTTTCCTAAGTCCTTATGATACATCATGGGTTCCTGAGCCATTCTCTTCAAGTCCAATATTATCCAAATTTTCTTTCTTCGAATCCGATGAAAGCGGTTCACCTTCTAAACTTAATAGCAGTAAGAGAAAAGTTAGATTCGCCTTACCAACATCAATTACATCACAAAGTGACGAATCACAATTCGCATCATCTTCTAATCCAGAAGCATTATCAAATGTTAATATAAATTTTGGTTTAACAAATAGAAAAGGAGAAGTATTTATACCTAAAAATAAATTGAAAACATGGAAAGAATTATGGTCGATGCCTTGGAAAGATGAAGAAACGAAGCGATTTACTAAAAAATTCTGGTTTACGTTTTCCGTTACTATTTGTGTGGTCTTATTATTAACGGTTATTGGTAAGTATCTAAGCTATTTTCTTTTACAAATATTCGAAAATTAATGATGTTTCCTTTGATTATAGGAATATGTATATATGCTGTATTTTCTCCAAAAATGTTCAAGAAAGACTTATCAAATGACATTTAAATGTTACTATATTCTGTAATATAAAATAAATTATATGTTATATTAAAAAAAGCCTCGAAAATGTTTTAATTTAAATTTGTTTTTCTGGTATTATATATTAAGATTCAGATCTAATCTTGTGCTGCTGTATAGCAAGGAGATAATCTTGATTCGAATAATTCACAAGAATTTCGGAATCGTGTTAATTAATTTTCTTTTAAGAAACATGAATTTCGCAAGTACAACAGCAAATCTTTAAAACAAATTCATTCATTATGACTATAAAAGCGATTTAATTAGAACTTTAAAGGTATGCTTTTTGCAATACTGCGAATTATTTGTTACATGTAACTCGAATACTCTTAAATGATCTGCAAAACAACAAAACGCCAAAAATTTTTTTGTTATAAACTATGAAAAAAATTATTTGAAAGATAAATTCCTCATTAAACAAACCATTAAAGCATTTTTTTAAAAAAAAAAATGGCATCAGATTTGACAGTGGCTATAATTGCATTATCTGTTTGTCTTTGGCTTCTTGTGATTCACGTTCAAACTCCAATTGAGTTAATTTTTCAAACGACAAAATCAATTATTAATGAAAATAATCCGATTACTTTACGTCCTGATAATGACGATGTATCTGCGAACCTTTATAGAGAGTCAACTTTTGATTTTGTCCCAATAACGTGTAAAGAAACAAAAGCGATTATAAGCAAATCAATGAATGTAGTGATTGCGATTGGAATAATTACTTTTTTTCAATTTCCAGACGGACTAATTCATGTGTCAGGGGAAATCAATAATGTTATTGAGCATGTTTCTTCTAATAGATTTTATTTTGAAATTATAACTTTAGAAAATAAAGGAGTTAATGTTATAATTAGAAATGATGAATTGTTTATTAATAGAAAAGATGATGAAACCATACACTTTATGTTTAATACAAGGTTGATTTCGATGAATAATAAGTGTAATATAAATCAAAGAAGGAGACTAAAAAATGTTATTGGAAAGAAATTTTCTGTTTATATTATGGAGGAGGATGACAAAAATTATTAATTACTGCGGATGTTCTAATTTTACCATACTTTGTATGTATGTATTCATTTCAAGACAGTTTTTTTTTAATTTTTAAAATCACGAAAATTTTTGAATTTTGAAAAAAATAGGACTCATTATTCTGTAAGAAAATATTATTCGTTATGATAATGAGCTTTTTTAAAATAAAAATAAATAATACAATATAATATGTAGATATTAAAATGAATAATAGAAATCCTAGAGCCCAATACATGTAAAATTCAAGCCAAATAAAAAATCGAATTGTAATACATGTACAAAATATGACAGACATTTCAGATTTTTTATAATATAGTATGTAATATATAGTTTTACAAATAAAAAATATCTTTTTTTTATTTATAAATAAAAATATTATAAATTTTTATTTTAGTTTTTTTCTTCTTTTACTATTTTAGTTTAAAAATGTTAAAACTTTATTAATATGATTCATAATAATCAATATGTATACATTATTATTTTTAAAAATATTGATAAACTTGATTTTCCTTTTCTTTATTTTTTATTTTTATTTTTAAAAGTTTTTTTTTTTAGGTTTAATTACTTTAAACTATAATAATATTTTTAGAATTTTTTAAGTAAAAAATTTCTTTAATAAACCTAAATTGTTTATTTTCAACTTATTTTTTTTTAAAAAATATTATATAGCAAAAATAATAACCATAGTAATTATTAATTAAATTACTTTTCAGATTATTTTTAATTTATAATTTATATAAATTAATAATATTATTCAAAACCTATTTAATATATAATTTAAAAATTTAGACCCTTTTTTAAAACCTTTAAAATAATTTTTTTTTAGATCTGAAACTTGATTAAACTTAATAAAAATATTAGAAGTTTAGGTAAAAATATTTATTATAAACAAATAATTTAATCTTAAATATCTTAAAACTCAAATTTCTAAAAATAGTTTAGAAAGATATTTTTACTATATAATATATAATCTGAGTATCATATACAATCTATAACTTATAATCTAAATATCATATATAATCTACTCGTTTTCTTATATCATATATCTTTTCTTTTCTTTCTAGTTATGTTTTTAGATCTTTTTTGCTATTTATATTTTTATGTTAATATGATTTTATTACCACAATATAATTCTAATTACCACATACATATATTATCTAAATATCACACTTTTTTTTCTTATTTCTAGATCGTTTATATGCTAAATTCTATATTAGGATTGTTGATTTTCTGTAGCTATTTGGATATCTGGTTTTATATTGAAGGTGCTTGCCTCCTGCATCTGAATAGGTTTCTGATTCTATATTAAAATGCTTACCTTTTACACCTACCTATTTTGATGCTTATCAATACAAAAATATATTATGTTGAATGATACAGTAGATTTGTGATTAATTTCAGTTGACATTATGTCATAATTTTAGCTGATCTTTAGAACACGTGATTTGAGGATCTAGCTTAACGTTATGGTAGTGATCTGAAGCTATTATAGAACTGTTAAAGAACTGGTAGGGATCTGTCATAGAATTAGCAAGGATCTAAGATGATTTTATTATTTTTCAGTTCTGAGTTATTATACTCAAATTTAGCTGAAATTTTAGTTAATTTACTACATCTTCAATTCCTGACACTATCCTGTAATCTTCTTGTAACTTTATCATTATCTTTTAAGAACTGTTTGAAAGATATCTGAAAGCTATTTGAAAACTATCTAGAAGTCATCTAAGAGATATCTTAGAATTAAAACAAATTAGCTATGTATCTTACTCATGAGTCATGATTTTAGATCAATCTAATTTATATTGCTATTCTCTATTACTATCATCTACTCATATTTATTTATAATTGATACTCATTTATGAGAATTTTTTATTAAAATTATTACTACTTAATGCTTACTTATCATTTTTATCACATTAAGTAAGATAATCCTGATATAAAGTAGCATAACATATTTATTTGCAAAGTATTTCTTTAGATCATGATAAAATATAATCTATTATAAATTATTTGGTATTAGAATAAGGCACTTCACTAGAGCTTATTATCTTATTTTGCTTTTTATTCTTCTGATAGCTAATTGCATTTTTAAGTCTAGTATTTTTATCTTTAAGCTCATTAATTTATTTTTTTAATAAATTAATCTCTAATTGCATATTTAAAATTTTGCAAGTTAATGTGAGTTTAATTTGCAATTTAGTATTATACTATCTTAATGAATAATTTTCAGATTTCATTGATACTGTATACAGAATAATTATTTTTTATGTATTTTTAATAATAAATTATGATTTCTAGTTTGTCATAAGTATTATAGGTTTTATATATTAACCTGTGATAGAACCTGTGACATGTTTGTTATGCTTTTTGATAATTATAGGCTTTTTTATTTCTTTTTTGATTAGTATTACCAGTGTTATGGTCAGTTTTTTATGTTACTTAAATGTTATAAGCAGACAGATAATATGTGTGATAAGCAGAAGGTTTAATTTATAGTTAAGATTAGATAAAATATAGATATCAATAATTTATTTAATATTATATATACTAACAAATGAGTATTGTCTCAAACATCAATGCTTCTGTATTGTACAAATATTCTAAATAATCAAACTAAACTAATCTAAACTATTCCTATAAGTTTTTATCTGAATGAACTCTCTGAATCTTCAAGGATTCTCAACTCATATTTATATAAAATAAAACATATATAATTATTAATAATGTTAAATAAATAAATTAAGTATAATAAATAAACTATGTTAAATAAATAAATTAAGTTAATTATGTAAACGAAATAGACAATGTAAACAAGGTTAACAAGGTTAACATAGTTTCTAAAAATCTATATTAGGAAGATCACTCTAATGATTTTGCGTAGTACTAGTATCATTAGGTAGAAAGTGATAAAATATAAGGAAAAAATTTTTATTATGAAAATTCCTATTATATATATAAGACATAAATAATATAATATCAGATTTTAAAGTAAAAAAAAAGTTAAGAAACTTGGATTTTATCCTGCAATAGTAGTGATACTTGCGATACCTATCAAAAAACTTTTTTTAGTCTAGAATCCTTAAAGGGTATATAAAATATATTACAAGTTCTGTTATAGGTTAATATACGAAACTTATAACACTTGTGACAAGTTTGTATTACTTTTATTTACTTCTAAATTACTTATCAGTATCTGCATCGAAGCTAATTCAACTAGCTTTTATTGATAATACTGTTTCATTTTACGGTATTTTCTAGCATAAATATCACAAGTACTATATTTGAAAAAAATTAATTTATTGCATTTATTGTAAAATACACGTAAGGAAGAATTTCAATAAATTTGGTATTTTTCCAGTCAGTAGCATTTCTGATTGCAAACTTTACTATTCCTGAAAATATAAAGATATTAATAAAATGCCATTTATGATATCTATGATTAGTTGGTTTATATATCGATTTATATATTTCAGAATTAATTTTCATTTTAAATTTTTTTCAGAATATATACCTTCTCTTGAACTGTATATTTGTGATATATTATCATAACTCAATTTGAGCTTTGACATTATCACTCCCTACTATTATGGATTTAAAGCCTCTGATATGGGTCAATGCCTATATAAAATTCATAAGAATAGTGTTAAATCAAGACTTTTTCTTGACGTAAATAATGAAGATAGTTTAGAGGCTATACTTATAGATTATGAGAATTATTTCTTGCATAAATTTATTGATGGTGATAAGCTACTTCACCTTGTTATAGATTTTGATTTGCTAGTAGAAATGCTAAATGCTATTTCTTCAAAGCTTTTAGACAAATAGACTAAAAACACACTTTGCAATGCTTTTAGAGATATTTTTCTAGAAATATTTTTAGAATATAATAAGAAAAACTATGACTATTGCCGATAGTAGTAAAGTAAAAAAAAATATTTCTCCATGTTTTAACTTTTAATATAAAACTTAAAAACATCATTTAAGTCACAATATTCATTAAGCTTATTTATAAGAAACTTCCAGAAAGGTTGCAAGAAAAAGATATTATCAATAATATTGCAAATAAATAATCATTTTCCTTGCAGATAGTTAGAACATTCAAATTTATTAAAGAAATAAAAGAACATATTCATGTGAAAAAAGCTATCTTTCTAAAAAATGAAATAATCTTTGACTTCATGATTCATCTACCAAATGATGATCAAAAGTTATAAAAAGTCTTCCCTTAATCATTTCAAAAAGAATTAAACAATATTAATATAAATAATAAAACTACTTAGGTCAAGTATGAAACAATTGAAAAAATGTTTAAAAATAACAATATTAAAAGATATAATCTTTCATATCCATCTGATAATAAGCCTGACATATTTTCATTATTACATGTATTTCCATCATATTGTCTAATATGTGATTATAAATATACCAATAAAAATACATATATTATTCAAAATAAAAAATCACATAATTTTTATTATTATTATGCAAATCAAAATAAACAGCTAGGAATAAAAACCTCTCATTAAAGTTTACTATTAGTGAGACAGTCTTAAATCGAGGAAAAAAGCTTTCAAATCTAGTAAAATTAGATTAATCCAAAATATTAGATCCTAGAGATTATTTTGTATGATAGAATTTAATATCTATATATATCTCTAAGAAAAAATTTACACATAATGAAGTATATAATATAATCTAAACAATAATTGCGTTCTAAAGAATTTAAAAATATGAATTTTCAAGCATAAAATTCAGATAGTAGTCTATACTTCAATATGAATCCAAGTTAAATATCAGTAAATTAACCATTAATATCATCAAGTTAAGTAGGAAAGCAATAAAATTACAATCTTTAATAAAAAATGTATTCAATACTGGCTTGATTGCTTATGCAGATATTGATTTCCTACTATATCCTCCAAATGCTATTCTATCGAAAACTAAATTCTTCAATTTCTTCTTAAAATTCAAAGCAAAGCCAACTTCTCAAATTAATAATATTTCGTAAATCTGATTGTCTGATATATAGAAAATATCTGATGTAATAGAAATAAAAATCTTTCTGAATATGTTCTGAATGGTTTGCATTCCTAGTTCATTATTCAAGTATAATTTTTGGAACCATTCTCATTTTACACTTCCCATCATATTGTAAAAAAACATTATTACTGATTTTATTTAGAAAAGCTTATTTGGACTAAAGCTTGTTTAATTGACCTCTGATCTTAGTAAAATTCTTGGATAATGTAATAGTCTTATTCAGGTATAAAAGCTTATTTTTATAAATAAAATAGGAATAGCTAGTATAGAATAGCATAAAACAAATGATCATTTAAAATCTCTCATTATAAAGATTATATTTCAATTAAACGTAAAGGTCTTGAATCTTTGAATTGTAATCATTTTATTAGATTTATGATTCTAAATAATTATAATGTTCTAATTTAAGTAAAAATAGAAGATAGTCATGTCATATTATATATTTAAATGTCTCCTTCTATTATAAAAGTAATTTTACATATTTTGATAAGTTAGAAAGAATTCTTGAATATTCTAATATGCCTAAATCTTTTATGTCATAATTGCTTAGTCTTAATCTTTTAAGATAGAAGTCACATAAGATCTCTTCAACTAAAATGAAATTAGAAATAATACAAGACCAGCTTCTTAATCCCATTCAATTTATAATTGATCACATTACATCTTAAGATAAGGATAGTATATTTATGTTAAGTAAAAAAGTATTATATTAAAATATCTCGAATGATGTAGAAATAATGATGAAAAGTATTTTCTAATAATATTTTTAGTAAAAAGCTATTAGAAAAAATATTATTGAATGTAAATAGAAATGAAAAGGTAATGGAAAAAGGGAATAACAATATATTCTTAACTGCTTAAAAATCATAACCAAGCTCTATGAATCAGATTTAGGTGATATAGAAGAATTTTCTGATACATCTCAAGATAACTTACTTATAAATGAGACTACTGATATACTTATATTTAATATGCCAGAAATTATTTCCTTAAAAATAATCACATCTTAGCCAAAAAAAGAATACGCTTTTATTAAGTACTAGTAAAGATAAGAAGGAAACCAGGCCAGTAATCAAAATGCTTCAACCTAAACTCTTTTTAATTATGTAACAGAAGAAGCTAAAATACCAATCACCTCAACATTTGGAATATCTGAAACTAATAAGTCTTCTGAACTGTTTGAGCTAGTAATTAATAAGCCTAAGGTTAATAAGCCTTTTGAATCTATTGAGCTTATTAGTAAAGTGAAAAAAAATCAAATGTGATAATGAAGTAGGTTCTAAGAAACTAGTATCATCTGCTAGGGCTCAACAAGAAGAATGATTCAGAAAAAGAGCAGTCAAACTTAAGGAGGATCTAAATGATTTCATGAATATTACAAAAAAAACAGATTGATTTTATTGCATTTTAGAATAGGATAGCAACTGATACTTAGATATGTGATTATGCAAAAAAGGTAGAAGAAAATCCCAATAAATATATAGAAATGGCAATACGTAAAAGATTAATAAGAGAGAAAATAATCTGTAATTCTCTTGAATAAAAGGAATCACCTTCTCATAGCTTGATATTGATAAAGAATGGCAAAAAAAATAAGCATACTTCAGAAAAATAGTTTGTTTTAGTAAAGAATGAATAGAGTAATTTTATAGATTAAATGATATAGGCTAGGATCCACTTTTTACAATTAAATGATATAAAAAATTCAGATAAAATATTTTACTTTCTTTAGACTGTTATTCTAAAATTATTATTATTTAGTCAAGTATCTTGATTATATATGAAGTCGAAATAAATCATTTCAAATATCTAAAATAATCGAAATGATCGAAATTATTTTATTTTATTTTATTTTTTTTTGATATTTTTACTAGGTACGCACTGATGGTAAAGTTTAGTTGCATACCTTTCAACAGAATAGTATGACTTACGATATATAATTACCACTATAACCCCTTTGATATATTGTAATCCAGTGTAATTTGTGTTAAACCTAGGTAAATAGGTATTACTACCTGAGTAGACTGCCAAACCACTAAACCTCATAGTAGAGTATTTTGGTATCTGTCATTATTCACATTCATCACAATTACTGAAAAGAGGGTCAAGAACAACCTAAGATGATAGCTTACATCATAATTGTCTTACCATATATCAAAATCACCCTAAGAATCGAACTCAGGCCTTCAAATCTTAGTTGTGATATAGGTATTATAATGGCTAAAGACAGTGCAATATCAACCACCTATAACTTGCGACTATTGTTCAATCCAAGTTATACAATGCCTACCATTGATCCTACCCTTACAGGTACCCTTTACAGATGATGTATGGTGCATAACATCTATAGTCATCAAAAATTTAGTGTAAATTCTAAATGTATCTAATTTATCATTTTATGTATTATTAAAAAAATAAGCCGATTTTTATATAGATTAGGTTATGGTCTTTCAGAAAATCCGCTTATATTTTGAATTAAATTATAATTTAAAAAGTTATTGGGATTTTAAAATAGGGTACATTACTAATAATTGGCCAAATTTCGGACTAACTTTGCAGAGGTATTTACATGGGTATGTAACTATTTAACTAATAAAAATGCGCAATTTTATCATGTGACGAAGTAATTTCTTCACGCAATTGCACTGAAATTTTATAAAATGTGTTGTTATATAAATTGAACAATAAAATCTATATACACGATTTATATTAAAACATTATTCAAAAGCATTTAGTTGCTATTTTATTTTATGTTTAAATAAAAAAAATGCCACCTTTTTCTAAACAAAAAAGAAAATCAAAAGACCAGCCACACACAAAAAATGGCCAATACTATACTAAAAGAACACAATATACAAGCATGGATGATCATAATTTACCGGATACCTCAATGTCAGTTAATGATAATTGTGTAAATGTAAAAGATTTCCAAACTAAAATAAGTGGCGCAGTTACTGCAGCTCACGAAAATGGTGATAGTGGTAATGAATATATCGATCTTGATTTCGAATTTCTTAATGAAGAATGGGGTGATGATGAAGATAGTGATGGGAATGATACTAATGATTTTACAGAGTTAAAGGAGACCAAATTGGTTTGGAAAGAAGATAATCAATTTGAAAAATAAAGCGTGGAATATATGAAAGGAAAGACCTCAAAATCAACCTATTATGATAAATATAGACCAAATAGCACATTTACTAAAGCAGCCGCTGGTGTTAAAAAAATTACAAATTTTTTTAAAGTTAAAAGTAATGCTCAAGATAAAGCTCAAGATCTGGAATCAGAAATTACAAAATCAGATTTGAGTGATTCGGATGATGAAATAGATTACCATACTTATCAAATTAATGAAAGAATCCAGTTCTTAAAAGAACTATTAGAAAAGCAACATAATAAAATGACAGTCATTGAATATAATCAAAAAAGAAATATTTTTGAATATCTTATTTGTTTAGATAGTAATGGATATGGAAAAATGTATGCTAATTTGGAGGCGGCTAAAATAGTTTTTGTTGATGATGGTCCATGAAAAGCACGATGTATTTGATATTTTGCAAAATACTGGCCAATAAATAATGAACTTCCGGTATCTAAACAGGGAAAACATCAAAAAACTATTAGAATAATTGATAATGAAGATATAGCTGAAAGATGCCGAATCTGGATTCGTAAACAAAATTATAAGTTTACTCCAGTATTATTTAAAAAATTTGTTGAACACAAACTATTACCTAGTATTAATATTATAAAAAAAACCATTACCTTGATGACAGCAGTAAGGTGGCTTAATATCCTTAGTTACTCATTTTAACAACATTATCAAGGTATATATTATGATAGACATGAACGAGATGATGTTGTATAATATCGTAAAAAATTTCTAGAGGAAATGTTTGAGCATGAGAAATATATGTCTAAGTATGAAGGAAAAATGATGGATCGTATATATCCTAACTTACCTGAAGAAGAGAAGGAACGAATTCTTGTAACTCATGACGAATGTATCTTCTATTCTAATGATGGTAAACGTGGAGTATAGGCTAAAAATGGAGAATTACCTCTACGAAAAAAAGGAAATAGAAGATCCATAATAGTGAATTTCTAACCGAAGTCGATGGACGTTTATGCCTACAATTAAATGATATAGAGAAATATCCAAATGTACCTAAGGAAGCACAATGTTTTCTCAAACCTGGTAAAAATCAAGAAGGATATTGGACTGCTGAACATCTTCTTGAACAAATTAAACACAAAGCAATACCTATTTTTGAAACTTTGTATCCA